ATAATTATAACATTTAATTAATTATAGATTTAACAATATCCAAAAGCATTATAATTTTCTAATACTTATAGGGGTATAAATTGCTAAGTTACTGATAATGGAAAGGTTGTTGGGTTACCTGGTTATAGTAGATGTTATTGCCTTTATCAATAAGCATTTCAAAGAACTGGAAAATAATATTTTCATTCTAAATGCTTAGTGGAACATGTTTTTTTTAATGGAATAGGATTTAGAAATATGATATCAAAAAATAATTATTAATGTCGAGGACTTAATTATGGGTATTATCTTAAATTAATGGTAATATATATTCTCATCATAATAAAGAAGTAGATACTAAAAATTATCATTCACATTTGCAACTAATTATATATCATAATCGAAGTAAGTATAGAACATAAGCATATTAAATGGACAAGATAGAATGATCAATTATCAATAATTGTAATTATCAAATCTATTATTAGCAGTTAGATATCCATAATATACATTTTTTAATCAACAGTTACAATATTGGATAATATCTCAAACTGATAATATAGAATGAAATGAAATATTATATATAAATGATAATGATAAATTAAGCATACATCTTATTTTCACAATAATTTAATATCAAAAAATATAATAACAATTTTCTTATTGAAATTAATTCAATATATTCACAAATATTTAGTTTGATTTTATAATTCAAATAGCTTGTTCAATTACTAGAAATTCAATTTAAGTAATTATTGGATTAGCTAAATTAAAATGAGTTATTTTTATGAAAATGTTAGGGTAGTCTATATACAATCATTAACATGATTTTAAATTTACAAGTATTAACAAATTGTAAAAAAAAACATTATAGAAAATATTTCTACACTCTTTTTAAACTTATTTATTTTGGAACAGTTAAAAGGAAATTTTTTTATTAGCTAAATTTATAATTCATTATTATACAGACTTTTTGAATATTTACTAAAATTACTTTTTTGCAGTTTAGTTAGCAAAAGAAAACTGTTTTATTAACAAGATATGAGCCAATTAAATATTTTTTTTAGTTTAATAATTTCAAAATGCTTTTATTTGTTTATTATATAATAATTACTTAAATTGTTTTAAGAAATTGGTTAATTAACACCTCTACCTTCATTTATTATTATTTTAGAAATTTTCGCTCAATAATAAAATGTTTATCCTGCTCTCTTTAAATATTTATTTCATTGGTTTCTATTTAAATTTTCTGAACTTTAAACAATATATCATAAAATTAACCGTATTGAGACAAGATTTAGTGTTTGTAACAATATTACTTATGTTCTCAAAGTCTTGATTTTATAATCTACGAAGTTTAAGCATGCTGACTTATGGCGAGGCATGAAGTGGGAGGGATTCTGAGAGAAATTGAATATTCTTGTACAGTTGTATGGGAGGCATCTACCTTTCTTTTCAAGAAACAACATCACCCATACTTAAATTACATGAACAGATCTTTGTACATATTGAATTTCCCTATATCTCTAGTTCTATGAATTGGAAAGACAGATTGATCATTCTAGAACTATTCTTTTTTTTAATGCTAATTACAATACAACATTAATAATTAATCAATCTTATATTCTTATGATTCAAAATCAAACCAAGAGCTCTCTTAAACCGTTTATAGTTTTAAATTACTTTCTTGTTTAACAACTCTTTTTCTCTATTTAAATTTTTTACTTTGATGAAGATATATTCAAAATTGAACTGTCAGTTTTAATTGTTTATTGACAAAAAAAATATATCTCACTAATTTAATGGTTGAATATAATATTAGCTAAAAACTGATATGTGTTATAAGTTTGTAAGTCTTGGTTTTCTACTTGCTTTTAATAATAATGTCCAAAATTCAATCTTAAAAAAATAAAATTTAATGAAATGTAATTGATTAGGGTCTGATTTGAACAAAGTAGTATTTTTAAAACAAATTAAATAAAAAATAACTGCAACAAAGAAATCTTAGAATGTCAAACTGGTTGTTGTTTATAACTTAAAATCATAATCATTTGGAATTATAGTTCAATTTAATATCAATTATTTAATATAGTTTATATTAAGGGGGTTTTATATATAAAATACAAAATTTATAGAATAATTGAATTTCTTTACGGTGACATAAAATCAATTATAAACAGTTATTTTTGTTCTATAGATCATAAATATTTGTTTGTCTCCTTTGATGATTAATTTTATTTTGGATTAATATAAAATTACTTCTTAATATTTTTAACATTTTTGTAATGAATTCAACTAAAAAATTAGTTGAAGCACTCCTACATAGTATATAACTAAAAAATCTATTAAGAATTACTGTAAGAATTATTTAGATAACAAAGCAATTGTTGGTCAAAAATCTTAATGCTTCTATAGTCTTACTGACTAAAAAGTAGGAGATTGGATGACTATCATATCGAATTTTCTCACTTAGTATGATAAATAAAAAGATACTAAATCTAGAGTTAAGCTTAATAATATCTGTTGTTGGAGTGTTGATAGACAAATCGGGCATTTTAATGTAATTATTATCTGGAAAACCCATATATATAAATCATAGTTTCGATCTTGTCTACCAAAGAAACCTATAAACTAGATTAAATTTATGACCTTCGCTTATGAAGTCATTCACTTAATGGAGTAGGATAATAATTTTCTCTAATTACTATGGAGTAGGATGCTGTTCATTCCCTTAGGAAACTATATAAAGTTTATATTGATTCATAATTGGTAAATTAGATGACTTGGAGCTGGAACTTCAAAAATGTTTTGGATGATTTATAAATAAAATTTTAATTTTGGTAACCAATATACAAATTAATAAATGGTGCCGAGATTTAATAATAGATAGGTATAAGCAAATAGTAGTCATCTATTCATGAGTAGAAGATGGAAGAGAAGATAATAAGATAAGCATAGGAAATATCTTTATAAACACCTAAAATTCCTCCAAATAAAATAAGTTAGATTTAAAAAACCCAGAAAACTTGAGGAAGAGAGCAATGAGGTTCTATTTTCAATAATCCATTTAATCCTTCTATATATTGCTATATCAATAGTTCTATTGATTAAATATTACTTTGATCAGTTAAAATTCCTTACATAGCTCTCTTCTTAACTTGAGGAGCTTTTGTCAAAGGTTATGGTTATATTGGATATGGAGGTCTTATTGATAAATCTGGTGGTAAATTTTCAAAAATTAATTGATTTTTAATGTCTAACATTATTAAGTTTTCGTCTAAAAAGAGAAACATAAAATTAAACTATATTAAAAATACATTTTATTTTTAACTACATTTAGTAATTAGAATTATTGAATAAATGTCCAAATTTGAATATGAATCAAGCAAGAGTATATCCTTTTTGTTTTTTTGATATCCAACTTTTCGAATACTTTAAGGGGGATTTGATAAATTTTGCTAAATTTCTCTCTCTATTTTAAATCCATCATCAAATTTTGCTAATATAATGAATAAATTATTAGATTTATTTTGAAACAATAAAATTTAATCTTAGTCTTATTCTTCCATTAATTTACAAGCGATGCACTTATCAAATTATTATAGTTCAGCCTAATTTTTAACAGCAAATACTAAACATATTGAAGTATTAATATTTTATTAAAATTCACAAAAGATTTAATCAAATTTTCTTGATATGGTAAAATATGAAATTTAATGAAAATCTGATTAAATTTTCTTGTTGATTTTATTTAAAAAAATATCATACAAGATGAGGTCATTTTAGAATATAAGTGCACAAATTCTACTATTGCACCAATCAACCATTCTGAATTTATTATATGGGATTTTTATCTTTGCTACAAGAGTTTTCTAATGAGGCAGAATAAAGATTAGTTAATTTTATCCTATTCTTATTCTTCAAACATTAGTAGAAACAAGAAATTCGGATCACAGATTACACTTTGGATTTTAAAACAAGTTAATTAATGTTCTCTAAAACTAGGCAACCAGAATCAAATACCAAGATTGATGAATCGGATTTATTTTTTGATAAAATAGTAACTTTGGAATTTCTTAGTGAAAAATCCTACACATTAGATGCCTAAAATATCGTACTCATTTCTATAAAATAAATATTTAAGATTTATTGATTTTTTCTAAAAACTTTAAACTAATAGAATTAAAGGAAAATTCTTCTATCATTAATTAAAAAACTATTAATTTTTTGGCTTAATTAAATATTGATATGATTCTCTTATCATAATGGTCTCTAGCATCACTTTCGATTTATAGTTAAAAAGTTTGGAGTTCCTGATATGAGATATATTTGGTAAATTAATCTAAATTTTTTGACTCTAATAATCCATCTGAAATTTTAAGATCAAAATTAGGAAGAGAGTTCTAGTATCAATTAGCTGTAGAGTTTGGATTTTGTCTTTAATATAGTATAAATATTAACTACCAAAGGAAAATTATAAAAGATGATGAAAATTAATCCTCTATTATTTTAGATCAATCTCTTATTTTTTTCAGAGGGTCTTCTCAAAACCAAAGTCTTGTTCAATAGTTTGAAATTTTTCATAACTTCAAAACAAGTCTTGTGAAATGGATATTCAGCAGCATCTATCTAATGGTGAATCTAATTTTTCTCTTCAATTAGCTTCAGACATAAATAACAAGAATCAGAATGGTGGATGGAACAACTATTTTAACCTAAATTATTAATTAGCTCTCCATCATTCTATTACATTTACTACATTTTTATGATATAAAATAAGGAATATTAATAATTATTGAATTTCATTTTATTTTTTATTTCTTTATCCTCTAATATAGTCTTGCAATTAGTATCTACTTCTCCTAATGTAAATTATTTTTGTTTGTTAAATTTATTTTATATTGTATTTATTATTTAAAGTTTTCATTTGAGAATTGAAATGGTATTTGTTAAATTATAGCTTTTTAAAGATTATACTTAATAAATCTGAATCAATTTTGACATTCATTTTTATCATTTATTTACCCAGAACTACAGCTTTGAACAATTTTTCTAATCTATTAAAAATGGGGTAGTATTTGGATATTTTATCATAAATCTCACTAAACTTTTCTGCAAATAAGAATCCTTGATCATTATTATCCTTTATCTCATTTTCAATTATTTATTATTTCATAATTTCTAACTATTTAGCTTTACATTTAATTTAGATACTTTCTATTAAAAACTCATCATCCAAACAACTATAAACACATTTATATGGATATAGCATAAATTTATATAGATTCTAAGACCCATTCATTTTACCAAAATTGTAATATGATTTCAATCCGCATAATTCTAATTCTTTTGGATATTTAAAAGGAGTTTTGCCATCTGCAGAAATTCCCAAACTTATTTATTGCAATAAATGACTACTTTCAAACATCACTCTTGCAAATTCAGTATCTTAGATTAGATTTCTCTTTACAAATTCATCAGGCCAATAAAGTTTTTCTTATTAAGACACAGCCTCTTTGTTTAGAGAAAGAACAGGAACTAAATTAAATTTGATTATCTTTTCTTCCTTTGATAAATTTGGATCACTTAAAACTAATAATGCTGTCGCTAAATCGGTCAAATGTATATCTTCTTAAACATCTATTAGGAATTTCATTGAACGAAAATTAATTCCTCTAATCTTTTTTTCGAATTCTATTTCCTCTCTGTATTACAATACATTTTTTTATAATTCTGATTAGCCTTCAGATTATTCTTATTCGTTTTCAGGTATTATTCCTTTGTCAATCTATTCCTTTAATTAATCCAGATTTGAAATCCAATTTTCATAATACCTTTACTTTTAAGGATTTTTGTTTATAGCATCCTTTAAAAATTGAATTCTTTCTTAAATAAGTTCATTTTGTAGATCTTTTTAATTCATGCTGTTCACCATTTAAATTGTTTTCCTCCCAATAACTCCATCTTTTTTTGTCTTGCAAACTTTCTATAGAAAAAGGGTTGAGTTTTTAGTTCCTAAATTCACTAATGTATCAAAATACAAATAGGCTGTATTTGGATCTTCTATTTTTTCAACATGATTTTTGATGTACAATTAATAATAAAAATTAATGATTTCATCTATTGATAATTCCTCTACATATTTAGCCTTTTTTATATCGCCATCTTTCATCCCTAATTTTAAATATTTTTCTTGATGATATTTATCATAAATATTTTATGAAATACCATAATTAATTTTTTCTTAAGGAGAATTGCTATCATTCACTTTTTCTTTTTAATTTTCTAAAATAAGCAGTGCTATAA